ACTCAGGTATTAAAGCAGGGTGGTCTCCAGCTTCCACACCAAGAAGGTGAGTTAGAGGCATGGGAGTCTGGAGACCGGCATCTCCTACCACATTTCCTTCCCCCTTCAGAATAATTTCCCACATCCCCCCACCCCCAAGTTCCTGCTGTGACACCATTCCCCTCCAGCACTCCATTAATTCTAAAATTCACAATCGCCACATCTTCAACTTTCACCAGGGCTCGTGCTGCCCCATCCACACCCCAGTGAACAGCACCTCAGGGCATGCTAAGCCAGCTGTGCTTGGCCCACCTAAAACCAGTGAGGAAATGCTCTTACCATATCCACTCATGCTGCTTTGGCCACCATATCCTCCTCCATAACCCCCACTCAGCTGCTGGTTAGCGGGACCACCGTAACTGGATTGGCTTCCTTTCAAGTTAAAGATGGAAATGTTAAGAGCTCGCCTGTCAAGTCTGCTCATTAGCAACAAATCCACCCTTCACCTGGCCAACAGCCCCTGTGCTCTGGCACTAGCTCGCTCACTCACTGAGGTAACTTTCCTTCCAAGTAAGGTAACAGGCTCACAGAACATGATCAGGCTTCCAGAGACTTTCCTACACTCAAGCAGCAACAAGAACTTTAGCAGCTTGTGATTCTCAAGCAGAGAATCAAATGATTCCTGCCCTAAGGGTTTGCTTTTGCAGTTTCTATGGACTACATGCAGCAGGATCAATCTGCTACTATAGTATGCAATATACACCTCAGGGGACTCAATCTTTGCTTTGAAGTGACAGTACCCAGCCCATCAGGCAGCATGCCGACTCACAGACTGGAGTTAGGCGTTTGTACAGTCCTGACAGAGGCTTGCTGCTGGTTGCGCATCACAGCAGTGCTAGAGGAGATCTCTAACTGAGCTTACTAACCACTGCTCTTCACCTCACCACTTGTCTACGTGCCCACAACACTTTTCTGTAGTTAAAATATCAGCATGAGACATCAATCATTTTGTAATCAAGATACTGTAAAAGCAGCAGCTTATCTACATGCACACACCCCCTCCCACCTCCACACCCTCAAGAAAGAAACCCCCTGAAACCAACCACCACCTTAATCTCTAAGAAACCAAGGCAAGTCAGGTATCAAGAAGAGTATCTGCTTTACAGACTTAGTGGTGGCTTTAGACTTCTATTGCAAACACACATTAGATTTTTCAAACAATTTTAGTGTTTGCTAGAGCAATTCAGACTGTTTCTCCAAATTCAACATAGATTTTTCCCTCACCACCAAGACCAGGCTTAAAAGGCAGGTTCTGTGGAACAGATACATCTTCCATCACCAGCCTATGTTATGGTCTCCAAAAGAAAGGGAGAGGGAAGAATAAAAAGGACAGACATCTCCCACTTCACTTCCACACCACCACATTCCCAGGAGCCACTCATCCCAGCACACACACCACATTCAGCACCACAGCTTATTCAACCTATTAATTGTTCAAATGTATTCCCAAAAGGTTTATATACCTGGCAATGTGCTAGTGTTCCAATCTTGGACTACCCCTTCCGATTCCTTGACTGTGTGATTAAGACAGAATGTTGAATTTCAGTTTTTAGGCCAGGCATAGAATAAGCAGGAGCTGTACAGAATTAGCCAGCTTCATAAAATATCAAGTGCTTGTTTAAAAGCGCAGTTATCGACTGTCTAGACATACCCATTGCTCCCATCATTTGACTGCCATAGGCACCACCACTTCCTCCTGCTGTAGAATTCAAGAAGAGTTCTACATATCTGTGTTCTGCAAGAAGAAAGTTTTGCCGTGAGAGCGTTACACACCAAATCCACACACAGTTCACCTCACTGCAAGTAAGGCTGCAATAAAACCTTTGGCATTCCAGTTACAGCAGATGCACTCTGCTGCAGTGCTGTATTTGACTAGAGCCACGTATTCAGGACAGTTGTACTTACGCATATTTGCTTTGTCTTTGGACATAGCGGCCACTGCATCCTCATGAGTAGCAAATTCAACATCTGCCTCTCCAGTTACTCTGCCATCTGGTCCAATTTCGATGTGTACTCTTACAGGGTTCAGAGGTGAGAAGAACTACATACGAAAGTCACACAGATTAAAACGCACCAATGCAACAGCTCAGTGCTCCTTGGAGCACTTGTTAACTGCAGTACAGCTGACATGTCCAGTAACGATCACTGAATCTTAAAACCATGCACTTAAGAACACAGCAGATTTGGAACTCACATTATAGATGTCGTTCTCCGTAGCTCTGTAAGGCAGACCTCTCATGTGGACGCAGTGGCCAGTCGTGCTCTGGAAGGTGGATCCCCCGTCGCCATATCTGTGGTCCGACATCCCTGCAGAGAAAAGAGTCCATTCTAGGTCTTTCAGATGTATTTTAGTTTCTTTTGAGACATGTTGAAAGTTCAGTTACTATTCCTATTAGAGAGATCTTACCTCTTCCAAATCTATCAGAACCAAAACCATAGCCATCATTATACCCATTGTAGTCATCATAACCTCCATAACCTATAAATAGATTGGACAACATGTTCATTTCAACTACAGAAAGATTCAAAGATACATGAACAAACTGCAGACAACGAGTATTAGAACATTCCATTTCTTCTAGAAGAAATCAAGCCAAGGACATATACAAACCACTAGTTACAAAGCAGGGGAGACACTACCAGGTCCAAGTGTTGCTGCTTCTTAGATGAGCAGTTCCCTCTTGGACTTCATGTACTTACCTCCTCCATAAGCTCCACGCCTCATTCTTTCCAAGCTACTTCCTCTACCAAGACTGTTATATCCCCGTGTAAGACCAGGTCTGTCGTAAGGACCGGGTCTCTGCATTGCCAATAGCTTGCGTGGAGGGTCGTAGTGAGTGCGCACTTCCGCTCGACTACTCTTGAAGATCTCAATGTACCTAGAAGTGTTTCCACAGAAAAAAAGTCAGTATTTAATTCCTTCCACAAATACCTCACAACTTCACATTACAACAAGCCATTTAGTCATAGCCTCGAAACTGGCAGTCTATTTTAAGCCAGGTTTCTTTACATTATGTAGGCAATGACATACTATAAGCACTACATTACTTTCAAATCAGTGTATTTTCAAGAAATTACAATTACTGAAGGGTTTACATGCTCCTCATACTTGACAGTATCCCAGCCTTAAGGGTGGGGGAGCAATATTGATTCCCCACCCTCCTCCCCCCAATTTAAAGTGTTAGTCAAAAAACATACACAGGAGGGACTGACGTCCGCTCAACTCAGCACTGTTTTGCTCATGTGGCAATGTAAACAGAGGGTTAAAAACCCAGTCTCCACCACGATTTTAACCCATCAGGATGCTACAAAAAGCTCTGCATGTGCTAGTGAACCCAGCCTATGCTTCAGTGATTGAGCGTAGGCAAAAAGTGCATGCTTCAATGAAAAATAGTCACAAGTAAAATAGAATAAAAAACCCTTTGTGACAATTTCTTGAAAGCTATGCTTATTACATTGAAGATTAATACGGTAAGAAAATTTGTTACATTTCAACTTATAAAACAAGTTTAGAAAGTATCACATTTTCTTATGGTAATAGGGGTACTGTGCATGTCTTTAGAGCTAAATGTGTAATTGGTGCTATTTGAGAAGTTAAAGCCATAGTCTCTCAACTTCATCGCTTTCAAGCTATCAGTTTTGCACTCCTCCAGTATTACCAAGTTCCCAAAGCACACTTAAGCTTAGCCCAATTTTGTCTTTCATTTTGGGTAGATCCAAACAGCCTGTGCCATACGCACATTAGCAATAACTTTATCTCCGAGTCAGTGGCCAAAATACTACTTCTATTTGGATGTTAAAACACTTTCAGAAGAGAGAATATGGATTTAATTGTTTACCATAAGAAAAGTGACATAGCCAACCAACCATCCATCCCCACCTGTGCCCTATTCTTTCCTTGTGTTTCTTTAGAGCCTTTTCAGCTATTTCCTGTGAAGCAAACTGCACGAAGGCCTCCCCCGTACTCCTCCCCTGGAAGTCCACCGGCAATGTTATCCCATTTGGCACGATTTCCAACCCTTCAACCCAAGGACAAATAACCCCAGTAGGGGGGCAATATTAACATCACAAGCCCAGTCATGAGTTTTTCTTATAGCTTTAAATACACCAGAATTTTAACACTTGTAAATGAATGGTATGTTGATTCTAGAACACTAGAAGAGAAAGCATGTCAACAAAGAGAGATCCATGACTACATACCATTCAATTTACATTCTTAACCCACCCTGCAGAGCACAGAAATGTTCTGAGTGTCACAGACAACTCCTCAGATAAAGCATCTAATGCAGGGTGCATTAAGAAGTTCACATATTACTGCAAACCTCTTCAATTCTGTGAAGTATTTAAGATGAATTTTAAGATAACTTAAATTCAAACACAGCAAGTTAAACAGCTTTATAGATAACAAGTATTTTTACTAGAAGTAACTCAGGTAAAATAATCAGTTTTATGCAAACATCAAATTTCAGCATTCATTTTTATCTTTAGGAGTGCTTAATAAAGAAAAAATCATGAAGTAATTTCAAAAATACTAGTTTCTGAACAGAAGAGGCATATTTTGTATATTAAGCACATTAACAGTTTTTAAAGCTTGAATCACTTAACCATGTAAGAAAAACAACTTAAAATGCACATGCTTAGAAATTTTCTTGTTCACAATGTATTACTGATTCAGAAAACAAAAAACAAGTTCTGAAGTTGTAAAATTGGAAATATTTCTACTGTATTGTAAAGCAAAACAGTTAAGCTCAATCATACCTTGCTATAGCAAAACATTCCAGCTAATTTTAAACACATTTAGAAATCTACTACTTTGAAAATACTACCAAGTTAAATCCTAGATAAATCAACAGATTTCATTCTTAGGCATTTATAATAGTATTCCAGTTCCTAAAACATACAACAGCTGCAAAAAATTGAGTGAGTCAATACAAGACATTATCTCTTCATCCATAAAAACTTTAAGCTAGACAACATTAAGGGTTTCCTCCCCTGCCCAGCCCCAGGAAGGGGAGGAGAGAGGAGGGAAATCCATACTTGGGTAGAATCCAGCAGGTTTTTTTTTTCTGGACACTTACTCAATACTAAATCTACGTTTATAAGAAATCATGGGCACAATGCATGCCCTTTCTCAGATCCTGCTCCTTGTACTGAGCCCAGCAGTAAGGGTGTTCTACATCCTTCACTGAACAGTGTGAACCAGCTAAGGCTGGGTAGAAATATTCTCCCATCTGAATTTTCATTTTTTATTTAGAAAGCAAGACACTTTTTTCTGCTATCCTTACTTAGAACAGTACATCCCTCCGAGTATAAATTAAAGCAGCTTTCTGGAGTTCCTTCAATGATTTAGTTAACAAGTACTTTAGGAATTGATCCCTAATGCCCAGTTAACTAATGAAGAATTGCTTATTTTTAATACTCATCAGTATACTGTTAGACATGCTACTGGGCAATCAGTGATTTTGTTGGGTTTTTTTTTTTGGTTTGTGGTTTGGTGTGTTTTTGGGTTTTTTTTAGCATAGACCAAATAGTGCTACAGCTACTACTTTTATCCCACATACCTGAAAAAAACTGTACAATTTCTTCTTTACTACAGCCAAATGGGAGTCCTCTAAGACGTACAAAACCATCATTAGCCGTATCAGGGCTGTTGGGACCAGTATGCTTCAGAACCCAATCCATTTCAACGTTGTTTGACTTGAAAACTGTAAAAGGCACTTAGAATTAATGCATTCTGGAATACACAACAGTTTTAAAAGCCATTTGCCTTGAAACTAGTCAATTTATGACATACAAGTCCATTTGTCCTTTCACATGCATTTTAAAGAGACAGAAAAACATTAACCAAAAACCCACCAAGCACAAACACATTTAGTCAGTTACTAGACCAACTGAGTCAAACCTTCAACATATCTGTGTCCCATTGTTTCTCTGTCTTTTTTCAGTGCCAATTTCACATCCTCCTCCGATTCAAGTTCAGCAAATGCTTCTCCACTTGGTCTGCCCTCCCTGGTGTAGATGAAACGGATACCTAAAGCCCCATTTAGAATTTTGCAATCTGAAAATGAAACAGGAATGACAGTATTTATTTATTTATTTCAGGAACATTGTGGCTTTAAGCTTCAGATATTCTCAAAAAAGGGAAAAAACTAAGAGCTACCAAGTTATATCAAGACAACAAAAGCAGCAGTATTCTTGTTGCAACTTTTATAGTGACCAATGATGGACTAACTAAAGTCAAATTACCCTTCTTGTCACTTCTGAGTATTACCAAAACATTAAGGATAAATGCAAATTAGCTATTTTCAATGCTTTGCTGCATCAAATGCAAGTTGAATGTGCTATCTGCTTTTGACCGTAACTTACGTAGACTTTCTCATCAACATGAGGTAAAATAAGGAATAGTAACAATCAGTGTAAGCATAATGAATTACATCAGAATCAAGTCCAATATGCTAAACTGAAGCAGCTTTAAAATCTCCAGTCACTGAAGAAAGCATGTATTTATCACCACTATTTATTACTGCTGGGTGCTAACAGTTTGGGGGAAGGACATAACACACTAAACACTTAACACCAGAGAGCCTATTAGGACAGGACCAAGAACTAAACTGACTTAGTTCAACCTGAAGCAAGAATTTTGAAGTTTTGTTGAAGTTTGGTTCAAAATGGAAGCTTCTCTCTTCTAGTTGCTCAAGAAGCTAAGGCAGTTATGGCTATCCCAGCAACTCCCAGACTAAGCTCCTTTCTGTCTAGCTCCTGCTAGCAGAAGCACAGCTTTCCACACTACATCCCGAGGCACTTGTTGCATTACAAACTTCACTAGCTACTGAAGTTCCCTGAACACTTTCTGGAACTGCTCACTGCAGTGTTCCCACGAGGAGCCCAGAATTGACAACAGAGCCCGGCCCCTCTCAGACCTTTGTACTTCCCACACTTCCGCTTACCGGAGAAAAACCGCTGCACCTCCTCAGTGGAGCAGGACCAAGGCAACCCCCTGACTTTCACCACATATCCCTCGCTGCTCTCTGTGTTCAGCATCACATTGGGGGTAAGGCTCGGCTCCGTCTCGGCTTCTGTGGTTGCTGGAGAAGACCAAAGCAGGTCCTTTGAGATGCCGCACAGCACGGCCGCCACCCGCACCCCCTCAGAGCG